AGTCAGTGCTGTGTACCACAGCAAGAAAGGAACAGAATGGCTCAATTATGATAGGATGATAATAAATGCACAAAAAGTCTTCCAAAGCATTGGTGGTATCAGAGGTGAGCTGCTAAAAGGGATTGCCATGCAAATATTATTTCTTTTCTTAGTATTAATTTTAATGAAAGCTTACAGGGACATTGGATTTCTACTCATTTATTGTTGCACTTTTCTCCCTGACCCCTTCTCAACCCCACTCCCAGTTCTCTCCTCTTTGAAAAGTAAAAGAAAAATTATTTCATTGTTATAAAATCCTTCTCCCAAAGTCCACTCCACTGTGCAGCCTTCATTCTGGAATCCTGTCATGACAATAATACCTAATCACATATCCCCTTTTAAACAGTTTCTCCCTCATCTGTTTCAATGCAGTACACATTATTTATCCCATATTTCTCAGTCTCCTCCCAAATCCTATGTCAGTCCTGTTTTACAACAGTGGCACTGTGCAGTCTTTGTCCTTTTGTGACTGAGATATTTCACTCAGTATAATGTCCTCCAGGGTCACCCATTTTGTATAATAGTTCATGAGTTCCTTCTTTTCCAATGTAGCATAGTATTCCACTGTGCAAATATACCATAGCTTCTCTATCCATTCGTTTGCTGATGAGCAACTGGGTTGTTTCCAGCTCTTTGCTATTGTGAACAAAGCCACAATAAACATGAGTGTGCATGTATCTGCTTGGGTGGCGGTTATGGCTATGGCAGTTAGTGGAATTGCTGGATCAAATGGTATCTCTATTTGCAACTTTTTGAGAAAACACCATACTGCCTTCCAGAGTGGTTGCACCAGTTTACACTACCACCAACAGTGAATAAGGGTTTCAATTTCTCCACAACCTCAGCCATTTGTTGTTGCAATTATTTCTTTTAAAAATAGGATTGTTATTTTTTTCCTAGAAACCATAAATCACTTAATTTATAATTACTTAGAAATGAACAGGCAGATATACACATTCCCTCATGCATTTATGTATTCTCCATAGGCTTTATTATATTCTCTCTATATTTTAAAATAGCCTATCAAGAACGAATATATTATTAATAAATATTAAGAGTTGGTATTTTGGGTTTTTTGGTGATTCTTATGTAAAACACCCTGACATTCACAAGCACAGCCAGAGCTGTAGGTATGCATTGGGTACCAATGTATCTCTAATCTGTAGTGAATTGTTCTGTTAACACTAAAGCTCCATGTGCTTGAATCTACTGGTGGTTCAGAGAGACAAAGACTGACAGTGGGGAATCTCCATGGACAGTAGCTATAAGTCAGACTCAACAGCAGTGAGAATATGCATTAATAGTATTATGATGTTAATGACAAGAGGTGGTATGGTATATTGAGCACAATAAAGGTATTCCATTTTGCATCCTATAATTCATATAGAATCTAAGAATATAACTTAAAATTTCTAGAATAAAAATTTACAGTGCTACATAGAAATCCTTGAACCAGGAGAAAAATGAGATGTCTATATGCCAAAAATTAAGTACGAAAAATAAAGTTGGTTCCAGACCATTTCTATATCTAAGCATTTTACTTGAGCTATATTACGAGTGAAAACTGTTAACATTCAAACTTGTGACTTTGTGAACAAAGTCAACTCTATCTGACTTGCCATTGGATTTCTGAGGCTGGAAATTGAGTGGGAAGAGGTTGCCTGTCTTTCTCGGGTGGACTGAACCACCAGAGGTGTTAGCATGGCGTTGGTGTTGTCACTCCCTGTGGGCTAGTTCAGCCGAGCTCTACTTGACACAAATGTCTTTTCCAGTTTAATGTGGGCTATACACTTTTTTTTCCTCCTAAAATGTGAACATTGTCACTTTTCAGGTTAATGGATCATGGACACAACCATTTTTTCTAAACCATTTGGTCTAAATTTTTAAAAATTATATTTAATTTAGGCCACTAGAAAACAGGTATTTTTAAAAACGATTTAAAGAACACCCTTCTACAAATGAAATGTATGCCCTATTTTTCACCCTAGTCCAACCTTCCTTGTTTCAGTTCTCACAGGTAACCCACCAATAAAATCTGTGAACTTTCCTTTTATATACACAACCACAATATTTAGTATTATTTTGCATATTTTCTTTATTAGAATAACCCCACATGCATTATCAGGAATTTTACATGTTAGATGAGTTTTGGAGTCAGGATTTTGGATTTAAGCCTGATGTCTGCTGTCACTGAGATATAACCTTATACAGCTGTTATTTACGAAGCTCTGGAGGCGTAGTGGCTAAGGAGCTGAGGTGCCAACCCAAAGGCAGGCAGCTGCTAGAAAGGAGAAAGATGGGCAATCTTCTGCCAGGTGATTTACAGTCTCAGAAAACCTGCTAACAGGTCAGCAATGAGCTGGTCTGATGGCAATGTGAGTCTGTAGCGAAGGAGGCCTGGTGACACTGCAGGTTAAGCATTGGGCTGCTGACTGAAAGGCTGGCAGTTCCAATCCATTAGCTGTTCTAGGGTCAAAGATGAGGCAGGCTCCTCCCCTACAGATATACAGGCTCAGAATCCCTTGGGGGAGTTCTTCCTCCTTTAGTGTTGCTATGAGTTGGAGTCTACTCAATAGCAGAGGATGACAGAAGAATTGATGCCTCTGAGTTGTGGTGCTGGAGAATATTGAACATACCATGGACTACAGAGAGAACATGTCTATCCTGGAGAGAGTGAGACCAAGCTGCTCCTTAGAAGCAAGAATTTTGAGACTCCATCTCACATACTCTGTGCATATAGACAGGTGGGACTAGTCTTTGGAGAAGGATCATTCTTGGAAGAGTAGAGGGATAGTGCAGAAGAGAAAGACACCAGATGAGATGGATTGACACGGTAACTGGGGTGATGAGGGTGGGTATTAGAAAGTGAGATTGGCTCAGGATAGAGCAGGGTTCAGAGCTACTGTGTACAGGGTCACTATGAGTCATAGTAGACTCGATGACACTTAACAATGTGTAGTGAGTTACACAGAGGATTGTTAACAGAAATGTAAGTGGTTCAAATCCACCACTTTTCAGTTGAAACATGAGGCAGGTTGTTCCTGCTAAGATTTAAAGTCCTGGAAATCCAGAGAGGGTTGCCAGGGGTTGGAACCTAGTAAAGCAGCAGTGGGGTTTAGGTTTGGCTATATCCATAGTCTATGCATCTGTAAATGGAATTAGAGATGCTAGAGCCCCTGTAAGTTAAAATGAACTCAGTGACAATGAGGCAGTGAGTTTGTTTTGTAATTTTGTCAAAACTTAGAGGTTTGCCTGAGAAATGTTGTTATATACTGTCACTTTGGAACTGACCATTGACTTACCATCCAATGGGGTTTTCAATGGCAGTAAATCACACAGGAGACTGCTCATTTTTCTCCCAGAAAGCAACTGGTGGACTTGAGCCGTGTGCCTTCAGATTAGCAGTGCAACTCTTTACCACTAAAGCCACCAGTGCTTTACCGTCTCTGAAAACCCACTGGAGGGTCAGCTATGAGTCAGCTCCCACTCAACTGTACACATCAACAAACGGATATATAGACACACACTGTTAGCTAAGGAGTTCTGGCTAACTGCTTAGGTCTTCCTATTTATTTGCTGCCTGATGGAGGTGTACTCATCAAGTGATGCACAAAAACACCCCAGTTTGTACACTATACATTAAAAAATGCACGGACCAGTGGCAAGAAGCTGTACTGCAATCCTGAAGGCACACAGTTTGAGGCCACCAGCCACTCCATGGGAGAAGGAAGGGCAATATCTATTCCTGTGATTAACTGCCTCTGAAAACCCCCTGGAGGGTCAGCTATGGGTCGGTTCTGACTCAATGGTACACAACAACAAGAAGAAAAGATACAGCTTGTTTTTACTAAACAGAGAGAAGGGGGGAAAAAACCCCAAGACATTTTCCAAAGAGGTAGATATCCCAGTAGCTTTAATGAAACCAATTTAACTTCACAATCATCTTGTCTGACCATAGCTCTTGGAGTCACTGAGCAATTAAATTCTTAAAAGTAGAAATAAAAGAAAAAGCTCTAGATTAAGAACAGATACAAGCCAACAACCTAGGCACTGTTTTCTTTGATAGTTTTAGTTTTAATGTAAATATATATTATTTAGAATATTAGCCTCTAAACTACATAATGACTATCATTGTATTGAAATAAAAACCAGGATTTCTGGAATTTTTAATAGTCTTTTTTCCAATATGGACATAAACTAAGCCCTGTTTCTTTCTACATACTGACTATAAGACAACTGTCACAAGATATTAACATTTTCACAGGAAGATTTTTAAGGCTTCTGGCACATAGTATATAATATCTGTGTGACCGTAATGTCATGATTATATACAGAAAATATTTAAAATTCTCCTTGTGCAATTTAAGTTCTAAAGATTAAAAAACAAAGTGTTCCACATTAATAAAATATTAAAATATATGATAAATATCCAGGAATGTGACACTGATTTTGTAATTACATAAAGAACCTACAAATAACATCTTGCACACTCAGTGATTCACCATTAAAAATAACCAGAACTGAATACAATTACTTCATATTCCTAATTTTCTAAATCATTCTTCCAGCACAAAACAGCCTTTAATATAACTTA